TTTAGGCGGTTTCCAGGATGTTGCTATGGCATTTTAGGCGGTTTCAAGGATGTTGCTATGGCATTTTAGGCGGTTTCAAGGGTGTTGCTATGGCATTTTAGGCGGTTTTGCGGTTGCTGTGGTGTTTTGAGTCATTATTAGTTGTGTGTGTGTGTGTGTGTGTGTGTTGCTATGCAGTTGCATTAATGTTTTGGACAGTTCCAAGGGTGTTGCTATGCGATTGCTAGGGTGTTCATAGTCATTGTTTGTGTGTTGCTATGCTTTTGGTATGATGTTTAGGACAGTTTCGAGGGTGTTGCTATGCAGTAACTATGGTGTTTTGAGTCATTATTAAGGGTGTGTTTGATGGTACGTGGTTGATATGGTGTTTTGGGTATTTTCAAGGGTGTTGCTATATGGTTCTGGAGTTGTGTATGAACAAAGTTCACCGCCTTAAGAGTGTTTGTTGTTAGTGTTGCCATGCAGTTGCTAAGGTCTTTTGAGAGTTTCAAAAGTGTTCCTATGCAGTTGCTACTGTGATGCAGCTGGATGTCAAATCGTTTTGTGGTTGCTATGGTGTTGCTAGGTATTAAAGTGATAGTCTCTGTGGCCCGGCTTCCTCCGTTATTGTGCGTGTGGGGGATTTTTTCAGCTGTTTCTGAGATCAGACTGAATCTCCAGCTGCTCCGCAGTGTTGTTTCTCATCATGCCCCCCCGTGACTCTCATTACCGTCTCTCATTCACTGACGACGATGAGCTATTGTGTGTGATCTGAACTTCATCATGGGCCCGTGTGATGCCATCCACTTGACCCGACACTCCTGATCCTCGCTGAACAGAGACACAAACACCTTATTACCTGGCCTTAACATGAACCAGCTCACAGCTCTGTTATACTGCCATAATGTCGCGTATTAATTTTGGCTGAGAATTTACAACTGAAAAGATAATTTAAAGTCATTATTGTATTAAATGAGAAATGCATTGAATAGACATTACAAAAAGTAGCAAATATTTATATTAAAATGGATTTTGAAATATGATATGATTTTTTTAATGAAATGATACTCTAAATATGACTCGCTGAGTCACTGTCTCAATGAGTGAGTCATTGAATTATTCATTCAACTGATTCGTTCAAACAGCTGATTCATTTCAGAAACGAATCAAGTGACTGTCTTTATGAGTGAATCACTAACTTACTCGATTCGTTCAAAACCTTGGATTCATTCAGTAACGAATCACCGCTGTGTGTTGATCAGAGACACACATCAGTTCTGCTGTGACTTTAATTGGATCTATTTTCATTTGCGAAACTGATCAAAAGCAGACAATATTATGTCTAAAACACAATATTAACTTCTTGTTTATTGAATGTATAAAATCAACATCACTTTTGCAATCCTGCAGATATTGGTGATAAACCGCACTCTTGCTGGTGTGATGTTGCTAAACTATATGATATAAATATAACAGTTAATAAAAGATTTTAATTTGATCTGATAAAGTAGCGTTTATGAGCGCAGCGCTGCTTTGTTTACAGCCGTTTCCGGGGAAACAACTGTATTTCTGATGTTCCAAAAGCACCTCCTGCTGGCAGAGAATGAATGTGCATTTTCAATAATCCCATCTGCAGTTTTTGTTCAGATGAATGCGAAAATTCACCCACATAACCCCGTTTTAAATTAATATCAGAAGTTATACTTCCGACTCATCTCTTTTCTTAAAATATGGTTTAAAGGCTCAATTGTGAGGTTTATCATTTTATAATTTATTTTGTTTTTGTGAAAATTAACTGTGGTCTACAACATGAAAGAAAGCCATTATAACATGTACGTGAAAAATATAGAAACATTGGACACGACTATGGGGCACCATTGTGCTGCAGCAAGCATCACAACAAAAAAGGAACCTCAAGGCCGATCTAGGTAAATGTGTGCAAATATATAGGGCCCGATTCTGCCTGGGGCCCCCAAAATCACTAAATCCGCCCCAACAGCGGCTGCTTGATCATTTTGTTTTCCAAAATTAATTGCGCCAAATATACGCATTAAACTGACTGCCCTAATATATATATTATATCAAATTCAAATTATATAATAGGGCCTTTCGCACCGCTTTAGTTCCAGAGCTAAATGTACGGTACTAAAGTACTGGGACGATTTTGCGCGAACTATTTCCCAGTACCATTTAAAGGGTTGCATTCGCACCGACAGTGTGTACTAAGAAGTGACGTAAGCCGGTCGACAGTGACGTCATTTGTGCGCGGCGTTCAACAACAGAAACAAAGAAGAACAACATTAACAACAGGAGGATGGAGGACGCTGTGATCGGAGCTGTGTGTTTGTTGTGTCTCGCGAGTTTCACAATAATGGACATGGAAAGTCGACGTATAGGTAAAGTGATTGAAAGAACGGAAAGGAGGACTAAGAATCTCCAACGACAACTGGCAGTGCTACATTTGCTACGAGTGCCTGCACTTCAGCGTCCGTCCATCTATCGCTGTTCTCCATACTTGCGAAATAAGTTGACACAATGTTTACAGTATGTTTACACGGCGTTTTAAATCATGGTGGGTGAGGGTGTTTTCATACGCGTTTGGCCAATCAATGTCTACTTTCAACATCACTTTTGCAATCCTGCAGATATTGGTGATAAACCGCACTCTTGCTGGTGTGATGTTGCTAAACTATATGATATAAATATAACAGTTAATAAAAGATTTTAATTTGATCTGATAAAGTAGCGTTTATGAGCGCAGCGCTGCTTTGTTTACAGCCGTTACCGGGGAAACAACTGTATTTCTGATGTTCCAAAAGCACCTCCTGCTGGCAGAGAATGAATGTGCATTTTCAATAATCCCATCTGCAGTTTTTGTTCAGATGAATGCGAAAATTCACCCACATAACCCCGTTTTAAATTAATATCAGAAGTTATACTTCTGACTCATCTCTTTTCTTAAAATATGGTTTAAAGGCTCAATTGTGAGGTTTATCATTTTATAATTTATTTTGTTTTTGTGAAAATTAACTGTGGTCTACAACATGAAAGAAAGCCATTATAACATGTACGTGAAAAATATAGAAACATTGGACACGACTATGGGGCACCATTGTGCTGCAGCAAGCATCACAACAAAAAAGGAACCTCAAGGCCGATCTAGGTAAATGTGTGCAAATATATAGGGCCCGATTCTGCCTGGGGCCCCCAAAATCACTAAATCCGCCCCAACAGCGGCTGCTTGATCATTTTGTTTTCCAAAATTAATTGCGCCAAATATACGCATTAAACTGACTGCCCTAATATATATATTATATCAAATTCAAATTATATAATAGGGCCTTTCGCACCGCTTTAGTTCCAGAGCTAAATGTACGGTACTAAAGTACTGGGACGATTTTGCGCGAACTATTTCCCAGTACCATTTAAAGGGTTGCATTCGCACCGACAGTGTGTACTAAGAAGTGACGTAAGCCGGTCGACAGTGACGTCATTTGTGCGCGGCGTTCAACAACAGAAACAAAGAAGAACAACATTAACAACAGGAGGATGGAGAACGCTGTGATCGGAGCGGTGTTTTTGTTGTGTCTCGCGAGTTTCACAATAATGGACATGGAAAGTCGACGTATAGGTAAAGTGATTGAAAGAACGGAAAGGAGGACTAAGAATCTCCAACGACAACTGGCAGTGCTACATTTGCTACGAGTGCCTGCACTTCAGCGTCCGTCCATCTATCGCTGTTCTCCATACTTGCGAAATAAGTTGACACAATGTTTACAGTATGTTTACACAGCGTTTTAAATCATGGCGGGTGAGGGCATTTTCTTACGCGTTTGGCCAATCAATATCTACTTGCGTCACGATTAGTACCAGTTGTGCCGGTTAGACCCTGCTTCGGAGTAGCAGCTAATTTGGTTCTCGAAAAAGGCAGTCCGGTACTAAAATGGCACCCAGTTCCGGCGGTGCGAAAACGCAGAAAAGTGGGTAGTTCCACAATTAGTTCTGGTACTATGAAAAGATTCCTGCGGTGCAAAAGGCCCTATAGTTATCAAACATGAAATAAACATTGGTTAAGATATTATTTTCAACATTTTGGTGAAAATATGTCCTTCAGAAATAGCATTAAAACAACAACATTTTAAAGTAAATGAAGATTATAAGTGGATTAACGCTAAAACGCACGTTAATCATGTGATTCTAACTGTGGCCTTAAAACATGATCTTAAGTTTTATAAGAATCTACAGCCCGAATTAATACATTATAACATTTGGTACATTAATCTATACTTTCTGCAAAGGTGCATTAAGTTTATGCTGATTGTGGAAAGCTACGGTGGGAACGCTAATCTCCGCTTCTGTGTGATGCGCCGCTCATTACGACTACTACTCAGAATAATGCGCTGGAGATATTTTTTTACCCGATTTTCTTTTCTGTTTTTGTGTGATTTCTGTTTTCTTTGCAAATCGGTGAATCAGCATATTTGCTCTAACAAAATAAATGCATTTTCTGCTCAAAGAGAGGCTTAATTACTCTACTAAGTAACTATTACTAGCCCTTGTAATTATCAGAAATGATATTATTTTACCCTCTGAGAGGAGGTAAAATAAATAAAATAGGATTGAAACTAGTGAGGCTTGTCTTCAGTGAGACCAAACGGAACGGATGAGGCCTCTACTTGAGGCCTTGTTCTCAGATGGATTCTTGCATTTGAACTAAGTGACTAGACCAGTTCTAGACTGAGGTGTCATAGATCCATGAACCTGCTTGTTCCTGCTTGTTTCAAACTAGTTCAACACAACAACAGAAGCAGCTTAGGTTGTAGCTAACATTAAATGGCTTTCTTGAATATATTATCAAAACATGAACTTTTGTTGGATTCTTAGAAGGGACTGAAATTAAGGGTGTGAAACAGAAAGTGAGTCAGAGCTGTTGTTCTTGTCTTGCTTTCATTGACCACATCAGTCAAATTACATGAATTCCTTTATCACTTTGACACAAACACC